AGGTGAGTGAGAGAGTTTACTCCATAGAGAGTGAAGAGAAATCTGCTTTAGATGCGGAAATCATTCTGTGAAGGATGAAGATCTACTTCTGGTAATCAATCAGCACTCCTCCAAGCTTCCACCGAGCTCCAATGGTGTTGAAGATCAATTTAGGGCACTTGGAAGTTCTGTTCGTCAATTTCTCTCTCTATGTTTTCTGCTCTCAATCTCTAACAATCGGATTCCTCTTCTCTTTGGCTTGAAATCTCCTTTTAACCTGAGACTGGGCAAAACACGATCAAGGACACTACCGTGTTTTGCTTTTGCCCGCCCGTGTTTTGCTTCATGTGTTGCAAACACGCCCGTGTCAATCCAAAACACGGTCATGCCCAAAGAGTGACACGACCGTGTTTTGCTCTAATGTCGCCCGTGTTTTGGACTCCTCATCAGCCATCACAAACACGCCCTCGGTAGTAAAAACACAGTCTGGGGAACACGGTCGTGCTTTGGAATGGGTTGCCCGTGTTTTTGCCCCAACTTCACCAAACGACCTCCAAACGCCCCAAAACTCGTGCCTAGCCCTTCCTTCGATGCTCGGATAAGAAATAAGGGTGTAAACACATGCAAATACATCGTTATCAGCAGGCTCGAGTTCGGGGCCTCCTCAGCCGCAATTTCAGCCACCAGACGATAGTTTCCATACATCGCAGCATGCTACAATGGGAGGCGCATACCAACCATCAGGTAGTGGTAGTGGAGCAGACACACATCCAGACCCGTGGGACAACCTAGAAGGTGATCCTACTTTTCATGGTGCGATGTGGCATTATGAGCAGCAGATTCAGGCGGAGCAGATGCAGGCGCAACAGATGGGTGGCGGTGCACCAGATGAGCATATTCAATCTCAGGCGGATGATTTGTTCAGTACACAGGATCAAGATGATGGAGATCAGCCAAACACAATGATGGTAGGGATCCACGGATCAGGCGGGCAACGAGGTGTGGTACTGTCGGCCATCTAGTGGATCAACATGGTTGTCGTCGTGGTGGTCGTTAGTGAGTGTATTATGTTTATGTTATCATTATGTACTTCTAAGGAATCCTAATTGGACTATTATGTTTATGTTATTATTGTTAGTCATGTATAGTGTTATTTAGTCAAAAATGAAAACTTTAACTATAAAAACAACAAACAACAACAACTTGGACATTTGATAAAAGTTCCAACAACAACTTCGAAAGTTTCATACCCGGCTTCGTCAAACCATAACAACATCAAACAATAACAACTAATTGGAACCACAACAACTACTACATTTGATATAAGTTCCACCAAACTACATACCACGTCTATTACCACTACTTCCTCTTCTACCACCTCTCGCACGTCGTTGGCCACTACTTCCTCTTTGTTGGCTCCCACTGCCACTTGCTTGGCCACCACAAGTTGATGCATTATGTGCAAATTGGTTACAGTTGCTACACACTTGTTGTGATACACCCTCTCTTGGCCAATCCATCTCGTTGTGAATTCTTGTTGTTCGTGGCCTCCCCGACTTCCTAATCATGTGCACATTAGGATGTAGAATAGGGTCATTATGCTTCTTCCAACCCTTAGGTTCACCAAGAGGTGTAAAACTTGTCCCATAACAAGCCAACACTGTTTCAAGCTTGTAGACGTCGTTTACAAACCTATACGGATTAGCCCCCATTCGGTTGCAAGCTGCAATGGCATGCGAGCAAGGAATTTTATTTCCTTGAAATTTCCCACAAGTGCAAAATCCCGCCCGATTTTTGTCGTCGAAGTGCACTGTGAGTGTGTTCGAACCCGTCATGTTGAAATTGTTGGGAGGAGTCTGAACTATATAGATGCCCTGACGTAGATCAACTCCCGTCACGGAATGTCCAATTGCCTTTTGTGACCACGACTTCATCAACTCTTCGCATTTGATGGTGTACTATGAACGACCACTTCTGATTTGAGCTTCTATTTCCAACCTCATCTTATCGAATTTCTCCAACAATCTCCAATAATTATGTTGCACAAGAGAAGCTATAGGAAGTGAACGAATACCTTTGAAAACACCATTGATGCTCACTACCATGTTGGATGTCATGATAGACCATCGACGCCCACCATTATAGTTATCATGTGCTAAGCTCCAACGAATTTGATGTTGGTCCACCAGTTATCACAAGAAATATTCCTATCAGCGGCCACCTTCTTAAATTGCTCAACTTGACGATCGAACTTCTCCAAGCGTTTTTGTTCGTCTAACAAAATAAATAACAACACGAGTTAAATAAATTCATGACAAGATTAAATCAAAATAATTAATACATTAAAATAAATATCAACAACGATGAAGAAGGCTTACCGACTCGAAATAGTTGCTTATACATAATTCTTCTTTTAGTCTTCCTTTGCAAATTGCTTGCATAGTGTCGCATGCACCACCTCCACTTCCAACCTCTTCCGATGTCACTCATGGCTTCATAGAGTCCCGCATGTCTATCTGAGATGATGCACACATCAGTTCGATCGGTCAAACCTTGAACATGACTTATGAACCATGTCCAACTATCAGTATTCTCGCTCTCCACTATGGCAAATGCAATTGGAAAAATCTTCTTCCAACCATCAAATGAGCTCGCCATGAGTAGCACTCCTTTATACTTTCCAGTAAGAAATGTTCCATCAACAACCATGACTCTTGGACAATTCTTGAATCCATCTATACAAGGTCCATAAGCCCAGAATACTCGCTGAAAGATCAAATGATCCGGTTGCGATGAAGGAACTCTTACCCAATCAATCACTGATGTTCTCATTTTTCTCTTTACCACCCGCAAGAATGTTTGTAAATAATCGTAGGATTCTTCCCAATTTCCATGCAACTTCTCCAATGCTCTTTGTTTCCCATACTAAGTCTTCTTGTAAGTAACTTGCATATTAAACTTATCTTTCAACTCGGCCTGCACAGCTAGAACACTAAGATTTGGTTGGGCACGTACCAAATGTTTCACGGACTCGGATATAACGTCGACATCAAGATGGCGATGATCTATTGGTTGAGTCGTATTGCTACAAGAATGCACCAACTCGGCTTTTCTCACAGTCCATTCACTTCAAACATCTCGACATCTAAACCGCATCCAAGGACAATTGTCATCCTTGTGCTTCAAGCATATGACCTTCCAGATTGAAGGTCACGACTCCACCACGCCATACTGAAAGTTGCGTTGTAGTGCGTGGTTTTTAATCGCCACCTGTGCAGCTTGTTTCGAGTGAAATATCTGCCCCTTGTAGAATTCTCCTTCGAAACCAGCAACAATAAGCATTGGAATTACGCCGTATGAATTAGCATATGATAATTCGTTGTCCTCTTCATTACACTGCAAGTAAAAATATGGAGGATAATTAGGCTGCCCTCCTTCCCCATCTTCCTCCTCCTCCTCCTCTTCTCCGTCAACATCGTCATGATCGGATGGCATGCTCCATGTCTCATCTTCTTCCTCTCCACACAGATCCTCACTGAGCTCAGCATGTATCTCAGCACCCAAACAATAAGGGTTTTGTGCCATAAAATTCCTAAGCGCATTCAAGCTATCATCATCAACAATAGGCATCGCATAATGAAATAAAACACCATTACGCCATTATGGAAGATAGTAAGTGAAACCTGTGATCACATCACTATCTTGTACTGCTTCCTCGTTACGTCGTATTCTCTGAATTAGATTCTCACAAAGTTTGTGATATGTCACCCGGGATGGCATCGTCAACTGAAAAATTCTACCACCAACGAAATGGACGCCCAAATTATCCTCTACTTTCTTCGATTTCCACCGAACGACTAGTTCAAATCTTCTAAAATCACTACATAAAAAAAACAAACTCACTAAATTTACTACTAAACAAAATCATAATTAGCACTTGAAGAATATAATTAAAAAAATAAATGTCTCTTACCTATTAGCCATCTTTGCAGCAGCAACCAGAGCTTCTTTCGTCATGGTGTTGTGAGATTGAAATGAAAATCGCTGTGAATTTATGGTGTTGGAGTGGGTGTGTAGGGCAGCGAACCCGCCCTAGTCTCAGGCGTCCACGCTGGCCATCAAGCACGCCTCAGTCTGTGGCGCCATCGCTGGTCGTTGAACTTTGGACATTCAACAACCAAGAAAAGTGCGCCAACGCCCCAGTCTCGGGCGGACCCGCTCAAATTGGTTTAAAAAAATTCATATAGCGTGTCTGCCTGAGTCTCGGGCGGGCTCGCTCCTAACCCTCAACAAAAAAAAAATGTGTAAATAGTTTTTAAACCACCTTATTGGTGGTAAAATTAAAAAAAAGACAATGTTTGTGGAATTTAACCGAGTTGTGGATAGCCTAAGGAAGATACGAGTAGCTGTTTCTGGAGGAGATACGAGTGACTGTTTGTGGAGGAGATATGAGTGGTTGTTTCTTCGTCCTCTGTGTTTTCTTGTACTTTTACTCCTTGCAAATTTAACAGGACTGTCCATCTAGTAGCACAACAAGCCCTTTTATCGGCAGTTCGATTATTTATTGTCTGGTGCATTTGATTGTGTAATGTTCTCTGACTATTTATTTTAAACTATCTATGCAAAAAAAAAAAAAAAGCAAAAGTGAAGTTTGCTTTCTAAACTGACATTAACTCATGTTATAGTAACTGAATCTACCAACATAAAAGCGGATTAATTTCATTTTATGCACAAGAGCAGCAAGCAAGGGAAACAAATATCAAAAGACTGGAACTAAAAATAATAATAAATAAAAAGAGTATAATAATAATAACAAATGGGACTGAAGAACAACAAGGAAGGAAAAAAAGGCAAAAACAATTAAAAAAAGAAACAAGAAGTAGAGAGAGAAAGAAAGAAAGAGAAACGTAAATGGCAGGGGACACGCGCGCGTAGTTGCACGCAGTTCGTGTTCTGTAATGAATGTGTTATGTATAATGTATGTGTGTGTCACTCACTGAGTCACTATTGCTGCGCTTTCCCTCTTTTGACATAGAAATCTTTTTTTTTTCTTTTTTCCTTCTCCTTCATCGTCCCTTCTTTTTTATCTTTTTATTTTTTCCCCCCTCTCTGTTGTTGTGCCGCCACTGTTCTATGCGCCTCCATCATCGCCACCCTTTCCCCACGCCTCCGTCTCCCATCTTCTTCTCCAACTTCTGTTCCCTTCGTTTTCATCCTTGATTCTCGGCCGCCATCTCCATCTCCGCCTTGGCCACCAGAATCTAGGGTTTGGGAGGTGCTCTGTCTCTCGCTTCCGAGCTGGATTCTCTCTATTCCACTTTGCGAATCTCCATGTGCCGCTGGTTCAGTGGGTTTGTCGATTAGACTCTCTTAGACAGATTTTCCCTGCTGCCCTCTCATCTGCATCGATACTCCTTTCGATCCTCCTGCGCGCATCGTCGCTGCCTCACTTCCAAACCCTAGGGTTTTTTTGGTCTGCGTGGCTGGGTTCTTTCGGGTCTGCCTATGCCTTCTCGATTAGGGCAACGCCGCTGATTCTGTTGGCTTGGCTCGCTCCGGCTCGAATTGCTGTGTACATATTTGTGAGGCTTTTCTAGGGATTTGGATGGCATTGGGCGATTTGATGGCCTCTCGGTTCTCTCAGTCTTCTTCATTGGCCGTGGTCTCCAATCACTACGATGACGGCGCCTCTACTCAAGCTGATGATGATGTCGTTGATTTAGCTTCACAGCGAAGGGATTCCGAGGCTGCCAGTAGTAGCTATGGCAATGCAGGGACAAGCACTACTACAAGCATGGCGTATTTGCCTCAGACAATCGTCCTGTGCGAGCTTCGTCATGAGGCATTTGAAGTTTCGGTACCTACTGGTCCATCTGACAGTGGTATCGTTTCTAAATGGCGACCAAAGGATCGAGTAAGGGCTCTCTGTTTCCTTCTTTTGTGCTGTTGGGGTTGAGTTTTGTTGTCGTATTTGTTTCACAGGCTTCATTGGATCCTTCCTTGGTGTCTTTGAACTTTCACCATTGACCCTAGGCAGCATGGAATTATAGCTTAGGAAGTCTGGTAATCCTACTCTGCTCTGATCGTAAATGCCTTTTGAGCCTCGTCGTACTTGCTGGGATTAGTTAAAGCGAAAGTGCCATTGTATTCATGACATTTGATGAATGAGAACATTCCCTACCTTCTATTCTCGAAAAATCAGTCAAGGACCATGATGAAGTGGATCTTAGCCTTCTAGCTACGTGACTGAGAATGCCTGAATGTTTAGTAAGCTGCTGGATGAATTCTGCTTTTACAGTATATCACTGGAAAATACATTGGAGAGGCTATGGCTTTTCTTGATCGGGGCATTGATTTCTTCTCATCTGCAACTCATTGATAATGAGGAAGACAATATGGATGATTGAGAGAAAACCCGGAAGTTTTAGTGTTAGTATTGGTAGACTATTTTTATTCATAAATCTTTGATGAAGCACAGGAATCTCTTATTCCCCTTTGATATATTCATAGAGTGCTAGGTTAGCGAATAATTTTCCCACTCGGGCACATGTGCAGCATTTTCTAGATGTTTCCAAAAATGTTGACTGTTGGCACTATATCAACCATAGTTTAACTGATGCATATGATCTGAGTGCGTCTTGTGAGACAAGGAAGCTCAATATAATGAAGTTGATATATTATTGTTTGGTGAGCTCCAGATTGATCAGTACACCTCCCGGTCCTTGTTATAATTTTTTTTTTACCTTAAATATCTGGCTATTGGCCTATTACCTTCGGTTACATGTTAGAATGTAATTGGAACCCTTATTTACCCTCCTGGTCCCTGATATAAGTAACTCTATGTTTACCTTATACGTCTAGAATAATTGGTTCTTCACCTAATACCTTCAGTTACTTGTTAGAATATAAGTGGAACCTCTGTTTACTTGAAGTGCTTTTTCTTCATAATTTTCTCTTGCATGAGCTTGTAGTCAGTAGAGGTTATTAAGTTGTGTGTTTGAAAATCTAACTTCTTGTGTGGTGGAGCCTCCCTGTTCCTTTGTGTTTAGTCATTTTATATTTTGTTGTGATTTTGCTCACCATCTTACATGTATGTGTCTTTTTGTTTTAACTCTCACTTTTCTGTGCAGATGAAGACGGGATATGTAGCTCTAGTTTTATGTTTAAACATTAGTGTCGATCCACCTGATGTAATAAAGATTTCACCTTGTGCCAGAATGGAGTGCTGGATAGGTGCATTTTTTTACTACTAATTCTTTCCCTAACATTTATTACTAGTTGTCTTCTATCTATCCTTGGGTTCTTGTTGAATTTTTCGTTTTATATTCTACCGATTTGAATAACGATTCCATTGCCTATTGAACTTGCTGTAGAAGATTGCCTCTGGTGGTGAAAACTTAACCTTGCTATTCTTAATTGCTGTCTCTTGTTTGTTGTAAATAATGAAATAGTGAATATTTTGGACCTTACTTGTACTTTCATCACCACACAATGAATTTTTCCTATTATCTGCTATCTAAATTGTAAATTGTATCTGTTTTGACTATGTTTGAAGAATGCGATCGTTTCTCAGTTTGAGAAACTCTGTTACTTTTTCTGATCCACATGGTCCCTTTGTTGGCAGATCCATTTTCAATGGTCCCTTCAAAAGCTCTTGATACAATTGGTAAAACATTGAATCTTCAATATGAAAGATGGCAACCAAGGGTAAGCCAATTCATGTGTTCTGTTTACGGTTTGAATGGTGTATGAAGTTCTATCCAATTATCATTTCATTTGTTCGTGGCAGGCTCGGTATAAAGTACAGCTTGATCCTACAGTGGAAGAGGTGAAGAAAGTTTGTAATACATGTCGCAAATATGCTAAATCTGAGAGAGTTTTATTCCATTATAATGGGCATGGTGTCCCAAAACCTACCCCTAATGGTGAAATCTGGCTTTTCAATAAGGTAGTTGTTGGTGTTAGTTTTTGAATTTCCTATATGCTTAAGAGCCATATCACACTCTAACTGCTGGAGTTTGAGCAGAGTTATACGCAGTACATACCATTGCCTATCAGTGATCTTGATTCCTGGCTGAAAACACCATCTATCTACGTCTTCGACTGTTCTGCTGCTGGGATAATTGTGAATGCCTTTATTGAGGTATTGATAAACTGATTGTAATAGTAGTTCAACATACTAATAGTTGGTTTGAAGTTTGTCATCATACGGTCTCTAACTTGTTTAATTGTTATTTTTTCTTCTTCTTGGAAGCTTCATGACTTGAATGCTTCCGCATCCTCTGGGGCAACGAGAGATTGCATTTTGCTTGCAGCATGTGAAGCACATGAGACGCTACCTCAAAGTCCTGAATTTCCGGCCGATGTGTTTACTTCTTGCCTAACTACCCCAATTAAGATGGCATTGAGATGGTGAACATATTCTCTTCTGTTCTTCAGATTTGATAAGTTTTTTGCGGTTTGCTTTTGGTTCTGTTATTTATTCTTTGCATGGCGTACTAGCTGATATTATTAGTTCATTGTCTCTCCTCTCCTCTGTTCGCCTCATCTTCGAATCCTTTGCTTATTTGTACAAGCCTTCAATCTAATTGTTACCAGCTATCATCTTATTTACGATAACTGCTTCAAGATTCTATCATGGTCTGAGCTTTTTATCTTTTGGGCATCAAATAAAATTGAGTAACCAATCTTTTAGTCTTGGGGGGGGGGGGGGGGGGGCAGTGATTGATGGTATGTTTGGAGATCCACATGGATTAAGGTGCAAGGAATGGAGTCAGCCATTGGTGTTTCAGAAGAATTATGTTTGCCCCCAAACATCGGTCCTGCATGTCTTTCAATGTGCACTTAGCTTTCTGCATGAGATTAATTCATGGAAAGTCAACGAGTTAGTTGTGTCTCGTGCATTGTTTTGGTACTAACATTTATCATGATTTCTTTGAGTTTTCTGATTTGGGTGTGTCAGATAGTGTGATTGGTGACCTGGGCTGCTTACTGTCATTCAGATAGGATGTGCATATGAATTTTTTGTGCGGTTTGTTAAAACCAGATATGAGGATTTGTTCTTCATCCTGCGTCAAACATATATTGGTCATGTATTAGACAATTAATTATGATATTTCTTTCATTTCCCTGTATATCAATCCAGTTTCATTTTTCTATGCTTCTCCTCCTGTGTTATTTATTGCTTAATCTTCAATAACTTTGGGCTCGTGGATTTGGCTCATGGATTTGCTGGCGTTCTGTTTTCCAGGTTTTGCACGCGGTCATTACTTCATGATAGCCTTGATTATTCACTTATAGACCAAATTCCTGGTCGTCAAAATGACCGTAAAACCCTTCTTGGGGAATTAAACTGGATCTTTACTGCAGTTACTGATACTATCGCATGGAATGTTCTTCCTCATGGTATTAATTCTTAACTATTACATCTATTGTGCTGAATGTGGGTTTCTCTGTTGAGTTATATGTCGTCATCTGTGCAGCAGAGATAACTGGTAGTTTATATTGCAGATCTTTTCCAGCGACTGTTTAGACAAGATTTGTTGGTTGCCAGTCTATTCCGCAACTTCTTGCTTGCTGAGAGGATTATGCGCTCTGCAAACTGTTCCCCTATTTCTCACCCAATGTTGCCACCTACCCACCAACACCATATGTGGTAAATATGAACATTCACTCTATTTGGTGCTCTTTTATGGTCATTATCCCACTATTCAGTATCCTACTCATAAATCATAATTGACATAGGGATGCGTGGGATATGGCTGCTGAAATTTGTCTTTCTCAGCTTCCATCTTTGGTTGAGGACCCTAATGCGGAGTTCCAGGTTTTCCCTTGATTTGTTTGATCCTACTGTCTAGTATTAGACTGATGTTTTTCAAATGCTATCAACCTTTCTTGTCGCCTTCAGAACTGTTGAAAGCTAATTCTTTTCACTATGGAATATTATCTGTGCTCTCTTCCAATTGAGTTTCTTTTCCTTCCAGCCAAGCCCCTTTTTCACCGAGCAGCTGATGGCCTTTGAGGTATGGCTAGATCATGGATCACAAGAGAAAAAACCACCAGAGCAGTTACCCATTGTTCTTCAGGTATGATATCTGGGGCAGAGGGCATTTGGTCACATGTTCTTTCTTGCGACTACATTGGCATTTTTGCAAAGTTCTGTCTGTGAATTGATATGCTTTCCTATGTTCTGAGGCAAAATATCTGCCACTAAGCCTATTTAGTACTTTTCAGGTTCTACTTAGTCAGTGCCATCGTTTTAAAGCTTTGGTTCTTCTTGGAAGATTCCTCGATATGGGTCCCTGGGCGGTGGATCTGGTACTTTTTTATTGACTTTCTTGATTAGTGCGGTACCGATTTTTCACTAATGAATTCTAAAATGTGGTACTGGTTTCTCTTTGTCCAGGCATTATCTGTTGGAATATTTCCTTATGTGTTGAAGTTGTTGCAAACAACAACACCAGAACTGCGGCATATCCTTGTGTTTATATGGACGAAGATACTAGCTCTTGATAAGGTATGTCCTGGACAGCTTTTCAATTTCTTAATGTGAGGATGCCCTGGATCTGTGATTAGTTAGAGATTGTTAGGATGCATGTAATGTTCCTAGAAAGACTTGCAGAGGCAGAGTTCGATGCTTTTTCAGCACTCTGAAGGCCTAGGTGCTCTTTGAATTAGCTTCTTCATGTTTGCTTAGTGAGGTGATGCTCTGTAGGAAAGTTGTGCACTTAGCCTCAGGAATCCTTATCATCTTGTCTGTTTAATCCAGTTTCTTCCTGATGACCTGCTGACCTGTTTTGACATTACATTGCTGGGCTGCAGTCGTGTCAGGTTGATCTTGTCAAGGATGGTGGACATACATATTTCATAAGGTTTCTTGATAGCCTGGAAGCATATCCTGAGCAGCGAGCTATGGCTGCCTTTGTTTTGGCAGTCATTGTTGATGGGCATAGAAGAGGCCAGGAAGCTTGTATCGAGGCTGGTTTAATTCATGTGTGCTTGAAGCATCTTCAAGGTTCAACACCAAATGATGGACAGTCTGAACCACTTTTTCTTCAGTGGGTTTCACTTTGTCTAGGGAAGCTGTGGGAGGATTTTACAGAAGCACAAATCATAGGTTTGCAGGCAGATGCCCCTGGGATCTATGTTCCTCTGCTGTCTGAGCCTCAACCAGAGGTCTGTTTTTCCGTAATAGTTTTAATCTTGTTGAGAGATATTGTCGTGTCACTTGTTTGATACCTGAGGCATTTAACTATTCTATTCCAGGTTCGAGCATCAGCTGTATTCGCTTTGGGAACCCTGCTTGATGTTGGGGGTGATGCCTTCCAGGAGGCTTCTGGAGGAGATGATGATTGTGACGATGATGAAAAAGTTAGAGCTGAAAATAATATTATTAGAAGCATATTAAGTGTTGCTTCTGATGGAAGCCCACTGGTCAGGGCAGAGGTTGCTGTAGGTATGTATGATTTGGGAGTACCCTGAGGTTATAAGCTAAATTCTTTGCATTCTCCTATTTGCTTAATCATCTCATTTACTCTGACTACTGATTCTGGTTATAAGCTTGCTATTTTTAGTACTGAGTTCCTTCCCAATCCTTTGCAGCCTTGGGTCGTTTTGCATTTGGCCACAAGCAGCACCTCAAATCCATTGCTGCCTCATATTGGAAGCCTCAGACTAATTCAGTACTGAATTCACTGCCTTCTTTGGCTCACATAAAAGGGGGAGGTAGTGGATACACTACTGCAAACCAGTATATGCCACATCCAAGTATCGTTGCATCCCAAATTGGTCCACTGACTAGAGTCGGTAGCGACACTGCCTCACTGGTGCGAGAGGGGCGAGTGTCTAACAGTAGTCCCCTTGCTGGTACAGGGATTATGCATGGTTCACCATTATCTGATGATTCTTCTCAACATTCTGATTCTGGCATCCTTAATGATGTTATAAGCAATGGAGTTTTGCATCACTCGAGACCAAAACCTCTGGATAATGCTATGTATTCACAATGTGTGCTGGCCATGCTAACTTTGGCCAGGGATCCTTCTCCACGTATAGCTGGCCTTGGGCGCAGGGTACTGTCAATTATCGGTATTGAGCAAGTTGTAGCAAAACCTGTGAATTCCACAGGCAGCAGTGGTCGCCCCATTGAAGCTGCAACTTCTTCTCCAGCTCCAACTCTGGCTGGGTTGGCTCGTTCATCCTCTTGGTTCGACATGAATGCTGGTGAGCCTCTGCCCTTTGTTATTTCCCTCCACCCATCTATTTCATTCAGATCTTGCCATCTATTTCTTTCAGATGCTTCTGTGTTGACTTTCAGATCATTCTACTTAGGCCTTCATCTTTTTCTTTATGATGATATATTTAGTATTTGATTCATTTGATCTTGTTTACAATTTAATGGTGGCTTTGTAAATTTGAGTAGGTCATCTCCCAATGACGTTCAGAACTCCGCCGGTTAGCCCTCCCCGACCTAGTTACTTGACGGGAATGCGCCGAGTTTGTTCTTTGGAGTTCAGACCTCATTTGATGAGTTCCCCGGACTCTGGGTTGGCTGATCCTCTTCTGGGTTCAGCCGTAGCTTCTGGAGGTTCAGAACGCAGTCTTCTTCCTCAATCAACAATCTACAACTGGAGTTCCGGGCATTTCTCTAAGCCGCTTCTTACTGCCACTGATGACAGTGAGGAGATACTGATTAGACGAGAAGAGCGGGAAAAGTTTGCTTTGGAACACATCTCCAAGTGCCAGCACTCTTGTGCGTCTTTTATTATATTTGATTTTCCTATTATTTGATAATTCATTTTTGTCTCTGCTAATGGAATTATTATCTCTTTACAGCTGTTGGCAAGCTTAATAATCAGATTGCTGGATGGGATACTAAGTTTGAGGCTGGTACAAAGGCAGCACTCCTTCAACCTTTCTCTCCCATCGTAGTTGCTGCCGACGATAATGAACGGATTAGGTATGGCATTTTATCATCTTCTATGTTGGCAGATGCTGTAATTTCTGCAAGCTGTACAAAATTTAGCTGCACTCATGTTAACTCCTGACACTTCTACTGATTTTTTCTGCTCATTAATGATTTTGCTTTTACCATACTACGTACTATTCCGGTAATTGGTTTACGCCTATGGTTTTCATACATTGACTTTTATTTACCTTTCTTTTCAGGGTGTGGAACTATGAAGAAGCTGCACTTCTCAATGGGTTCGACAATCACGATTTCCCTGATAAGGGGATTTCAAAGCTTTGCCTGGTTAATGAGCTGGATGACAGCTTGCTTCTTGTTGGTTCATGTAATTCACTGAAGGCTTATCTTGTCAGGTATCTATTTTTTTGGCCAGTTGGTATGATCTCAGCACATTTATCGCTTCATTTATGTAGGTGATGGGAACATACGGATTTGGAAAGATTACTCTATAAGAGGGAAACAAAAACTTGTTACTGCATTTCCTTCTATCCAAGGTCATAAACCTGGTTCACGTAGTTTGAATGCTGTTGTGGATTGGCAACAACAATCTGGATACCTGGTACTTCTATACTCCCTGAATATACATAATATTATGGTTGATGACTATGTCTGATTCCGATTATGACCTATAAATGTATTTGTTGTTACATCAACAGTATGCTTCTGGTGAGGTATCTTCTGTTATGGTTTGGGACTTGGAGAAAGAACAACTTATTAATTCAATTCCCACGTCATCAGATTGTAGCGTGTCATCATTGGTGAGTTTCCTTCTGTGAGACTACAGTCTTCACTCTACATGCAGGGTTTTCTTATTATGTGCCAAGTATTATGTTCAGTGAGTTACTCAGTTTGCAAGAAGAGGTATTCCATTCTTGTGCTGCTATATTTCTTCTGAGCAATCCAGAAATAAACTCAGAGGGGATACTTTTTTCCTGAGTGATCTTCATCTTAAATCTCTTTTCTAATGGCTGTCTGAGATCTCCCTGGGCATGTAAGCTGAAGCTGTAGTCCTAGTGTACATCTTCCTCCATAATTTGATCACGTCTTATTGTTGTATGACTTCTCCAGGTTTCTAGAACCTTTTTAAAGTGAAATGGCTAAACAAGTGTCCTTCCAGTGGTTGTACTTGTGAACTGTAGGTTGTAGTTTCCCTTTGATATCGTTAGTCCCGCCACCATTGTCCTAGTCTGATTTATAGTTTTATTGAGTTTCTCCATTGCCTATTTTTTCCTTTGCCTGTTACCTTAAATATATATTTTTATCTCTGCAGTCAGCTTCTCAAGTTCATGGAGGTCAATTTGCTGTTGGTTTTGTTGATGGTTCAGTGAGATTATATGATGTTCGGACCCCTGAAACGTAAGTTGACTCTCATATCTGAACTGCAAGTGTTCTTTAGACATGGGTATCTATTTTTATTCGCCTCTCAGTAGCAAGGTTGCTTTTTGTGAATTTCAGGCCTGTGTGCACGATGAGACCCCACACCCAAAAGGTAGAAAGAGTAGTGGGTATTGGGTTTCAACCGGGACTTGATCCGGCAAAGGTGAGTGATAAATCCAGCTCTTGGTGCATCATGTTTTATGTTACGTATGTTAGTTCCTTGTAGGGCTGTTAATAATTTTTCATTGTGTTACAGATTGTTAGTGCGTCTCAGGCTGGGGATATTCAATTCCTGGACATCAGAACTCAGAGAGATGCCTATCTCACGATTAATGCCCACAGGGGCTCACTTACAGCACTAGCCGTTCATAAGCATGCTCCAATCATTGCTAGTGGGTCAGCAAAGCAGATAATTAAAGTATTCAGTCTTGAAGGTGTGCAACTCGGAACAATCCGGTATTACTCCACGTTCATGGCCCAGAAGATTGGTTCAGTGGGTTGCCTTACTTTCCATCCCTACCAACTGCTGCTTGCTTCTGGGGCTGCCGATGCTTATGTCTCTCTATGGGCAGATGATAACACTCAAGCAAGGTGATGAATGTACAGTTAATTTACCAGTTGACATATATGCATGAAATATCCGACTCCAAAAGCCAGCAGCAGCTGTGGCGGTACAAGCACACAGGGAAATCCAGCTCCGTGATGCATGTCGACTAGATCAGGCTGATACTTTGGTCAGACCGGTGCGCTGGTCGGACTGATGCATTTACCATATGATCTGGCACAAGAAGAAAGTAAAAGCGAGACGAATTCGTTAGCCTCAGTGTAGAGTGAGACACAGCTTTGGGAGAGATGCTTCCTTATTCATTGACGGGCTGGGGCTTCCACAAATAAAAAGCATTTGTATGGCGTAAATGTGTGTAAATAGTCTCTTGTTTCTCTTCTGTATCTGTTTTCTCTCGTCAATCTTGGAAATGTGTTAAATTTGTCAGTGTTCATTTCAAGCTACATGGTTGCAGTTTACCAATAATATTTCACAGGGGTTGCATGCAGAAAGATATGGTTTGTTGTCTTTGCCATTGAAATCCTGGGGATGCCCACTTTTCTCGCCTGTTAGTGTATTCATCAATAGGATTCAGGTACGGTGTGCAGACTTGTGGACTGTGGGCATGTTGCAGGATCTGTTTATCTTTGCAACCGAGTCAGTGTACTCTTTTCTTGTACTGATGAAGGATGCCTGTGTAAATAAATGCCTTCGCCATCTTTTCTTGTGCATGGATATCTAGTTCAAGCAATGGGTTTTACAGTTTGGTTGTCTTGTCCTACCACTGCTTGCTTGGCGAACCCTAATGAGCAAGGTCTGGACTTGGACTGAATGCAAGTTCGCGTCCTCACGTTTGGTGCGCTATAATACTTCTGTCTGCAATTCTCCGTCATCAGGAGGGTCTGGTGTATAACTTCGTATGCTTAAGTGTGCCGCACAATTATTTGATTCCCTTTAATTTATCTTTGCATCCATCTGCGTCGTTGCATGGATTCTCGTCGCACTTTCTCAGTGAATAAACTGACGCTGGAATGAAGCGTAAGGGAGCTGATGTGTCATATAAGAATCAGGGTTGCATAATATCTAACCACCCGCAAGCAAAAGCTACACAGATTTTCATTCGACAATCGAGAGAATCTAAACACAATGGTAAACTGCAGAGCAATAGTGTCTATGGTATGCACATATAGCTCTGCGCTCACAACTTCAACCGACATAACCGAATGACACACGTTCCGATTATTTACTTCCTACCACCCACCATACTCTGCCCCGATGAACTAGGCAAGCTGGGAGCTGAACTGCCACTAACCTTGAACTTCCCTTCACCGTTTCCCAGAACATTCAGGTCTTCAAACAACCTATACGACGGGACAAATGGCTTCTGTGCAACAGGCTGCGCTGCGGGGATCCTTGCCCCAGTCTCCCCATTCATAGATGTGCAGTTACTTCCAGCTAGGTTGTGATTCTGCATCTGTGTAGCTGCTGTTCGAGGTGGAAACGCTGTGTTGCCGTGTTGCATTGCAAAGGTATTATTATTAGCAGGCATGTAATTTTGGCTATTACTACCATTGGCATAACCTGGGGTTGCCGCCCATGGAGGAGGTGGATATCCAGATGAGTATTGAGGAGGGTACTGAGAATGTTGTTGTGGATGAAACTGTTGCTGCTGCTGCTGATGGTAAAGAGGTTGTGGCTGAGACTGAGACTGAGATGGCGAAGGACCATGTGGATGTTGTGAGTAATGTTGAGTTTGAGAAAGGTTCTGGTTCTGGTTCTGGTTCTGGTTCTGGTTCTGGGGCTGGGGCTGGGGCTGTTGTGAGTAAAGTTGAGGTTGAGACTGGGCCCATGGTACAACATAACTATCAAATGATGTGGCCCCTGGAATTCCAGGATAAGTTTGTTGTGTGCCCGAGGAGGAAACTGGTGTCTGAGGCATGCTTTGGTCTGGGATTGGAGTCTGAGAAGGGACCGGTTGTGGGGACGAAAAGTTTGTTGACAAGGTGATACTTAACAGGTCAATGATATCCTGCTCTTGTGTATTCTTAACTGGATCTACAATAGCCAGAGCAGTGGATGTCTGGGCAGGAAGCGAAGATGCAGCTCCAGATGAAGTTTGATTTGTCTCTATTGGTACGAGTGCTCCGCATGATCCATTGCTGGTGTCGGCATGGAAAGGCCGACTTTTGGAATGCCTGTACCAAAAAGAAGGAAACAAGCGCTCAATATATCCAGATCAAAGCTGCACAGTTTTATTGCTGTTTACGTTGGCTGTGTTACCTGCGAGCTAGTTGAGCAAAGTCATCCTCTTCTTCTTCATCATCTTCATCCACTTGGGGTTTTGACACATTAGACTCTTGTGAGATTGGTTCTGTGCTGGGCGCTGGAGTAGAGTTCTTTACCTCAGTGGGTTTTGTGTTGGACGAAGTTCCTTCTGTTTGCTTGGAGCTGAAATCTGGAACTGGTGTAGAAGGCATTGGCAAACCTGAAGCTATAGCATCATGTTTTGCAAGCAAGATCTGAAGGCTGTCGTTTAGCTCAAGACCCCGAACAAGAACTTCTTCATCCCTGCAAGAGTAATAGACATAATTTGAGCTATGCAGTTACACTGACTGCTGTTTTTCATGAACTAATCGACACGCATGCACTCAGTGAACGAACCCAGTCGTAGTCAGCATCTGCATCAACTTTTTCTGGTTGGATCGGCAGTGTTCGACAAGGTCAACTATAACCTCATCCTTAACAGCCTGGCCCAAAAGCAGCATCATATATTAGAAAAAAATGTAATTAACTAATTTATTCTGTGAGAAGAGGAGCATTCAAGTAAGAAATACCTCGCGATCATCAGTGCTAACAGCTTGCAACATATCACCCAAGAGGTCCATAACTTCGCGCATCGACTCCAAGCTTGACAAACTACAAATAGTGCCAAAGTAAATCTTTAGTCACCAGCAATGAACAGAAATTCGAAATTGAAAATGGAATCCACCTTGACACAAAAGAGATTGGACAAACCTTAATTAAACTCTCACCTTAATGCTTCAATCTCTGTAGCCATGGTTTCGTCAAGTCTTCTGGAAGAACCTCCAGGCATTCCAAATCCAGGTTGAGCAGGCCTCAATGTCGAGTGGGTGAGGGGTGGTGTAAATATTGGAGCAGCATCTAAAGAACGTGGGGGAAACTGTACTCCAGAACGCTGTCATACACAAAGTCCACGTCATTGATTTACCCATAATTTTCACCAATCAAATTTAATCGTATAAGCATGTTCCAGATAACATGTACGCAAGGTTAAGTCATAAGTGGTGAAGTGAGTTAACTTGCAAAAAAAAAAAAAATAATAATAAACATTATGGCCAAACAGTGGGTCAACCCAGAAGATGTAGAGGATAATCATTGAACAGTGAAGAGTAGCTGCAAACACCATGGTAATAAAAAGATGCATGCCAAAGAAATCAAGTGAAGGTTATAGTAAGTAGCACACCCGCAGCTCCTCATAAGCCCAATAGTATTGAGCATATTTTCCTCCGGGCCCACCAAATGCCTCTTGCCAAGAGTCCAGCAGAACCAGGACTTTATCTCTCACATGAAGGTCTGTCTGCAAAACCAAACATTATAGAATTTCAGGGATGAATGAAACTTACTATAGGTGAATGATCTTTCTTGGGAATTCATAGTCTGCCTAACAAAGAGGAAGGAAATAGGATTCAATTTGTTCAAAACAACTTTTCTAGAATCTTGATCTGATATACCGATAAACACCCTCCTCCTTAAGTTCAAGTTTGGATCCTAGAAAGGAAGGAACTTTATAGTAGTTCCTGGTATCAGCCAGAGAACCAATAAAATGGATATTGAAGGCAATTTCATAGTTTCATCATTTTTACAGAAGATGATTACTAAGAAAACCCAGCCAGGTACCTTTTTCTTGACGACCTTCACCATCTCACCCAGTATATTTTTCTCCGCAATTTGGAAGTGGACGAAATCACCACAGTTCTTCACCATAGTTTCCAGGAGCTGCAGAGCGAAGTAATCAAGACATCACAATTACTTTTACAAAGAGCAAGATGATGATCATAAATAAAAGTGAAAATTCCGGAACTGTAACAATGAAAAAACAGAGAGTCCAAACCATAGGTCAAGGTGAGAATTAAGTACCGTTAAAGCAAGGAGTTGCACTCTAGGGTTCCTGTGCTGCAACCGTTTCTTCACAGCTTTCACTACATCTTTCGCCTGCCTGAGCAATCCAACCACAGTACACAGCCGCAGCCCGCAAGTTAGCTAAAAAATAAACCGACGAGACTGAAGAATACACCGGAGGGGAAAACAAAACGATCAGAGTCGTAACAGTTTAAAAAGCGGCGATTCAGAAAATTCTCCGGCGAAACAAAGTGAGCATAGCATATATATCCGTGATTACCAGATAATTTCATCATCTCAATACGAGAAAGTAACAATCAAGAGAAACCTAGTCGGCGTAAGCAGTGAAACGGACGCCCCATGAGAACACGACTCAGCGGGTCAACGCCGGAGAAAATCGAAAAGGAAACAGAAGAAGAAGAAGAAAAGAGATGGATGGAGCATACCAATGGTTGGTGTTGATAGAGTCGCAGATATCAATATTCATGGTCCAATCAGGTGTGATGAGAAGGTCGCTGGTGGCCTTGTCCACCGCCACCGTCGCGGAAGACGAAGACGCCATAGCCATCGGTGAGTCGCTCTTTCCTGTGAATTCTCCCTCGCTTTTGTTTTCAGCTTTCACCGAGCGAGCGTATCCCTTTTCCGAATAAACAAGAGAAGAGGGGAAGGCAGAAGAGAAAGCGGTGAGTTGGTTGGGCGAGAATTACGAAGGCGGTGGTGGAGGTGCAAAAGCGGAACCCGACACGAAAGTCCCTCTCCAGCCGAATTCCATTCCCAATTCGAATCAATCCACTCCCTATTCCAATTCCAATTCCAATTTAGCGGGTAGAATTTGAGAAGGAGGAGGAGAACAGCAAAAGAAAAGAAAACAAATAAAACAATAATAATAGTAATTAATTATTATGAAAACAAGATAGAAAGGGATAATTCGCGGCAATTATCTGACAGAGCAGAAACCTGCCTAGGCAATTTCGTCGTCTGGGTTTCTTCGTCTTCCTTCCTTCTTCTTCTTCTTCCTCCTCCTCGGTGGCCTTGTACTCTGCCCACTCAGAAAAAGACGTTAAGAAACGTTGATTTTGTCTTCTTCAATACAAATTACAAAACAAAGCCTTCTCGCTCCCTCCCTCTCTCTCACTTCTCATCTCATCCCGCTGCTCTATTATTAATTAATAATAAATTGTTAATAATAATAATTATAATCTGGCACTTTCTTTTTCTTTCTTGTTCTTCGCTTTCTGACCGGAAAATCAGCTTTTTTCTTTTCTTTTCCTTTTTATCTCGTTTTGTTTTTTCTTCTTCTTTCCCCTATTCCGTTTCTCCCCCACTGATTTCCTTGCTTTTCCCGGGTCAGCATGCCCTCCTCACTCTGCTCCCTACTTCCACGCGCTAATCCAGCGTTTGAAATCACACCCACCGTAAGATGGATACACGCGGGGAATGACGTCGTCTGGGTGACAGGGGTGGCGAGTGCGACAAGAGTGTGAAAGAAACGAGAGTGGGAGGTAAAAATGCGTTTTGGCTACTGTGTTTGAACTTTGAACAACTAACTAACGGACGACTACTACTCCGTCTCCGCCCTCCGGGGACCAAGAAGGAGAAGGAAATTAAAATTGGGGAGCGAATGGAAGAAAAAATGTGCAAGGTTTTTTTTTTAGTCATTAAACGTGCAAGGTTTTTTTTTTAGTCATTAAACGTGCAAGGTTGGGATGAATGGTTTACGCGGGGCAGTGTGCGAGATACCAGAAAAGTCATCACTGTTTTTTTTTTTTATCATAAAAGTCATCACTACTTAAGGTTGCACAAAGGATGATAAACGGATTAATCCTTCGGGAGTCCACTTTTGCATTATTAATTTTTTTTTTACTAAAGCATTTTTAAATTTAGAATCAAATATCATGGTTGAATTAAATAATTTTCAAACTTTTTTTGGAATTGGATTTCGAATAAGTTCAGATAAAATTAAAAAAAAAAAATGAAGTATGTTGTGAATATATTTTGACTGTTTTTTTATCATAAAAGTCATCACTGCTTATGTAAATCACAGGAGATAGAATGTGTTACCCAAATGAAGATTAGAGGCCCGATATTTAAAGGAGCATTAGGATTTTTCGCATGCCTAATCTGCTAGATATGGTATGTAGGATTGATTCAAGTACGAACAAACCATCTGCATGCAGGGGGCGAAGGTAGTATGTAAATTGGGTGTTTCATGGCACACCCTTGGATTGGGACTAGAACATCAAAATATAGGGGTATTAGTTTATGTTATAACTAGGATTTGAACATGGAACCCAAGTATTATTAGCTTTGGCATCTTACAGTAAACTACAATTATTTATGTGATACATCAATATGTTTTGTAAATATATAATTAACTTACATTTACAAATAATAAGTAGATTAAAAAACTCATAATTGTATCCTTATTCAAGCAGTAATCGGAACATTAGCCCTAACAAGCAAGACTTCTCCCAGTCCCACCTTTCATCTTCCTTCGTTCTTCTTTCCCTTTTGGCAATGAACTACGTGAAAAACATTCTTCGGAGTGGAATGAGTGACGATATCATGAATGATTTTTTTTTGGTAGGATACATTGAGAGTAACATTCTTGATAGTCTGGATTATGAATGTATTTTACAGAGTTTTCAAACTATGAGAATTCGTCATGGGTCACTCTTAAAAATTGATAGTCACTTTAATTTTTTTAAGTTGTCACCCCCTAACCCAAAATCCTGGCTACGCCACTGTCTGCATGTCCCTTAGAATTCTATATCCCTTTCACACATGGGAGAGATCGTTATTTCTTTTTTTTTTTCTTGCGCAGACCACCCTCATGTGAAAGGGTGATAAGTGAATCATTCATTTGCAAGATGACTAATGCGACAGGAGAATTTACTATTCGCGACTCGAGGGGGGTTTGTTGTCACCAATCGCTCTTATTTGTGTGTGAGTCGGCCTATACTCCCTGGTCATGCACCTATTAAGTTCGACTGAGTGAGTCATGCCCTACTGCCTAGGGTCAGGACAACTGGGTCGTGCGGTTCTTGAAGTGGGTTCAACCAAGAGGCGAGAGTTGTGGACCTTTCTATCATTGTCTAGGACTTCAGGTCTTTTGTGAGCATAGCGAGTGTATGTCCAACTGGTTTGGTGTAGGTTGGGGAACCTTTTTGGGTTGAGTCGTTGGTTGCTCTTTGACTCGCTTTTACCAAAACCTTAATTATTGGCCAAGTGTAACAAGAAAATCAGGGAGTAGTATAGTGGAATAAAGTTATAATGTCAACCCGGGGCCTAGATATATTATTACTCGGTGAACAATATTAATCTAGCAAAGCAGTTGTAGTGAAGTTACCAAAACTAAAGGGACAAAGCTAAGAACGCTGATTTGATTTTCAGATATAAGAGATCACTCAGGTATGCGCTCCCTAGTACGTAGTTAGGTCAAATTTGAAATTCCCTTAGTTTAATTCATTGATAATTACACTATAGAAAGTCTAGTATCAGTTTGGAATCTCGACTAAAGCAAGCCAATCCTTCTTAAATTGATTAGTCAGAGGGAGATAATATGCCAAGATAATGTAAATAGACTTCTTTTACTGGAATGAAGTCTAGTACAGAGCAGTGAATCGAATCATTATTTGTGCAATCAACTCACTATTTCCAATTGAGGATGCTCTCTTAACCCAATCAGATTTTCTCTCTCCTAGGTTGAAGCAGTAATCAAAAGAATGTGATCAAGATTCAATCAATCATGAATAAAATCTCAATTCAATATAATCAATCAATTCACCAATCCAAAGGTTCATACAATCCGTCTCCTGACACATAGAACTAGGGTTCTTCATACCCAAGTGAGAGAGGAGATTACTCTATAGAGGGAGAGAGGAAAACCATAATCGAAGTAGTCATACTCATAAAGATGTATATGATCTTCTCTGGGATGTCAATAAGCTCTTCGAGGGGCAAAATTCAAGCTTTAATGGTGGGATCTCGGCTCAAATATGCTCCAAGTTAAGGTTCTTCGTTACTTTCTCTCTATAGAGCTTTGTTTTTGTTGTAAAGTCGAATCCCTTGAGAAAAGCCGAAATTTCCACTTAACTATGTAGCTGGGCAAAACACAGACGTGTTCCTTACGCGTGTTTTGGTTAGTGCCCCGCATTTCACTTAAGTTTCTTCAACTGGAAAACACGAGCTCTCCAAGGCAAAACACGCTCTGTCCTCGTGTTTTGCCTCAACCCATGTTTTGGAGATTTCCCATGATTCTTCTCGGCATATGAAACATGACCTAAACTTGGAGAAACACGGTCGTGTTTCACTGCTTGTCTAGCCCATGTTTTGCCTCGGCATGGGTTACACGAGCTGTAAAACGCGGTCTGGCTTCTTCATCTCGTGTTTCTGAAGGCCATGCCCACGTTACTTCCCCATGCCCACTTTCGAGTCGCCAAACGATCTCTAAATTATCTGAAACTTGCACATAAGCCTCCCTTTACTCGCTAGGACCTAAAATGCGATAAAAAGCACAATCTAGCGTAAATTGGCTTAACATGAAAGAAATTGAGCTCAAATGATATAGAAATGAGGGAATAAAAAATTTCTAATCAAGGCATTATCAAATTCCCCCACACTTAACCATTTACTTGTCTCCAAGCAAACTAAGTAAGACATGAGGTAAGCTTATAATCTTCCTCAAAAATTTGTGGGAATATGTCATAGAGCACAATCACGTGAATCACAATGGTTTTCTAGCATCAACATATGGAACAACAACAACAACTTTGACAACCACCATAGATGACCTTTGAATGCAGCCAAATCACGGAGAGAAAGAGTCGTCCCTCTGTTGACAGACCAAAAACTGACATGCCTCAGTTACTCACTGGTCACAGTCACCCATGCATAAAGATCAAGACATCATATTAGAGATAGAACAATCTAGGCCCTCACTAGGAATTATCATTTGGGAAATGAATCACTAACTATCGACCAGTGGGGTCAGGACAGTTTGATGCAAAAGATTTACATACTCATATTCTCAGCTCTATCATCACTTCACCATGATAATAGCCTCTAAATGCTAGAGTTCACAGAATGGGTGTCACCACTAACTTGTTCAGAGGACTTGATTGGGTTGTAACCGGTCGGAATGTAGTACATGGGCTTTAGAATATTTATGTTGTGGAAACACATACAACACAAGGTTGTACAATTCCAAACCAGAACCAATCACAACAATCATACAAAATAATCTTTATCTGCTACGGCTATTTCTACAACTTTTAGTACAAGATTGAAGGGGATATCAACATGCATTTGGGGATAATCAACTTTGGTGGAAGCTCTCATTCTTTTTTATTTTATTTCTCTTTTTTTTCCTTTTTCTTTGAGAGCTAACAACATATGTCACCATTTTACTACATATCTTAGTCATCATAATAGGTTATTCTCAATCACGAACAAGTTGTTCATAAATCGATGCTCATAGCCAAGGGATTCAACACAAGACACCATCGGTGCTGCTATGATCGTGCAAATGGAGAATTTCTTGGCTTGGAGCCCTCAAATTTAAAATTTGGACAGTGGACTAGGCTCTAAGCACATATACAAGCCTACATTCAACAGAATAGACACCCCCACACTTTAGTTTGACATTTCTCTCAATGGAGCAAATGGAGAAAAGGGGAACGATGCTACCAGTGAATGATGAATGTTGGCGAGGAATGGAGAATGGACTAGTCAAGATCATGGGACTGTAGAAGGGACCAGTCGATATGGATGGAGCAAAAACAACATAAAAGAACACACTGGGTCAAGGGTAATTCCAAACCATAGTTCCAAGTTCAACAGACTTGCTAAAAGAAATAAAAAGAAAAAGAAAAGAAATAGTCTGAATCTCAAAACAACAAAACAAAGGAACATCTGTTGAGGGATCAGTCGGAGTCAAGAAAGCCTCCCCCGCCAATGGAGAGTTCAAAGTCCACGTCATCCAAATTCATATCCAAGGAAGGGGAGCGATCCCACTAAGTGGTAACTTGGCTAGGAGCCTCGACCAAGCCTGATCAGGTAGTCTTGGTTTGCCATAATGATGCACCTAGCATCTCTCTCTCGTTCAAGACGAGAGTCGATCCGTTCTTGTC